CAAGTGGTAGAGCAGGCACCTGCCTAGCAAGCGTGAAGCCCTGAGTTCAAAGCCCAGTGCCTCCAAATAAATAAAGGGTTCGTAAAGATAGTTTTGATTAAGTGAGGAAAAGAGCAAGGTGCAGAAGATACATAAAACATCTATCTATAAGAATTCTGACCCAGGCTACAACGTGGGTTAACCATGCAGCGTTGTCCACAGTGTCATAAACAGAGATGGGTGGTTGGTGGCATTCAGGGGCTGGGAGAGGGGCCATGATGGTGGCAGGGTCAAAGTTTCAGTTTTTTCTCACGAGTTTGTGTGTGTGTGTGTGTGCAGTGCTGGAGATGGAACCCAGAGTCTCACACATGCCCGACAAGCATTCTACCCCTCAGCTATGTCCCCGGCTCTCAAGTTTCTCTTTGAGCCAGGGGCCTGTGGCTCACGCCTATAATCCTAGCTACTCAGGAGGCAGAGACCAGGAGGATCGTGGTTCGAAGCCAGCCCAGGCAAATAGTTGGTGAGACCCTATCTTGAGAAAACCCATCACAAAAAGGCTGGTGGAGTGGCTCAAGGCCCTGAGTTCAAGTCCCAGCACTGGGGAAAAAAAGGGTTTTTTGGCAGTACTAGAATTTGAACTCAGGACCTCGCACTTGCTTGGCAGGTGCTCTACTGCTGGATGCACTCCACCAGCCCCCAAGTCTTTCTCTTTTCTTTGTGTGTGTGTGTGTGCGTTTGTGTGTGCAGTGCTGGGGATGGAACCCAGGGCTTTTGCATATGCTAGACAAGCATTCTGCTACATCCCCAGCCCTTCTGTGTGTGTGTGTGTGTTGGTTTTTGTTTTTTTTTTGGTGGGGGTGTTAATTTTTTTTTAATGAGTCAGGGTCTCGCTATGTAGCCCAGGCTGGCATTGAATTTCTGATCCTCCTACCTCTGCTTCCCAAGTGCTGAGATTACAGACATGTACCACCACACCCAGCCCCATTCTATCTCTTACAAGGACACTTGTCACTGGATTTACAGCCCATGCAGGTAATCCAGGGTGATCTCATTTTAAGGCCCTCCCTACATCTGCAAAGACTTTTCTCTAATGAGATCACGTTCAGTAACGTGGACATATGTTTGTGCAGGTCACAGTTGAACCCACTACACCTCCTGGATGCTAGGTAGGGCACTAAACACTTTATGTAATCCCCCGTCCCCAAGCTGGGCACTGGTGGCTCACGCCTGTAATCCTAGCTACTTGGGAGGCTGAGATTGGAGGACTGAGGCTTGAAGCCAGCCCAGGTGAATAATTCTCAAGACCTCATCTCCAAAATAAGCCGAGCAAAATGGACTGCAGGTCCTGTGAAGCAGATACACTTATGTCCATCTTCCCAATGGACTCAGAGAGGCACAGGGCCTTGTCCAGGGTCACACAGGAACCAGAATTCTAACCCAGCTAGGTTAGGCCCAATTTTCTGTGTGAGGCACCAAAGATACTTCTGGCTCAGGGACAATCAGTTAAATGAGACATCAAGGAATTCGTGTGCCTTTGTTTGGCATGGGCCCTCCAGACCAGGTATCTAGAGATATGCAAGACAAAAGGGCAGAAGGGTGAGTGCCATGAGTCGTCACCAGTGAAGAGGCCAACAGCAAAAGGCAAATTATTCATCAGCCCTTTCTAAGCAATGCAATCAGATGTGACCCCCACCTTCTGGAACGTGGCCCTTGGCCTGTGACACCCTCAGGGGACAACCCCAGCCAGGAGTTTATGATGGAGAAAATGACAAAGGGAGAAAGTTCCGATCCAAAGGAAATGTGTCCTGTAGAAATAACATTTAAGCCTCACTGGTGCCGGAAACTGCTGTAAGAATTTGATAGCCTCTTTACATCTTCCTCTCTATGAAGGTGAGGGCCAAAGCCACAGGGAATTTAAGCGACCTGACTCAGCTCACAGAGCATGAAAAGGGCAGAGCTGGAATTTAAACGTAGGCCAGTCCTTCCACCAGAGCCCCTTCTGTGGCTGCTTTTTAAATTGAGGTGAAGCAGGCGTGGAGGTGCACACCTGTAATCAGAGCACTCGGGAGGGTGAGGTGGTATGTGAGTTCCAGGCCAGCCTGGGCTGCATAGCAGGACCCTGTGTAGGTGAACGGATAGAAACACAGATGATAGATAGATAGATAGAACAGAAAATTCACTTTTTTTGGTTTTGTTTTTTTGACACGGGGTCTGGGCACATACCCCCAGACTGTGTAGCCCAGGTTGCCCTGGAGCTCTCAATCCTTCTTCCCCAGTCCCCCAAGTGCTGGCATTACAGGTGTGTACCACTGTAAGGGGAGCAATGACAGAGGTGACTCCATTTTGGATGAGGAGGCACTTTAGAAGCAGACATCTAAGGAGGCATGAGAAATAACAGGTTTCTTAGGAAAATAGCAAGCCTGTCACCAAAGCAACAAAATGCAGCTGCAAGATGCGCGCCCCAGGGCGGGAGGAGCTGGACAGACTCTCCTGGAGTGTGCCGTTCCATCGGGGATGAGCAGGTGACCGGGCTCAGTGGGAAGTCAACCAGATGACGTCCACTCACAACATACTTGCAGGTAGAAGAGTGGACCTAAGCCTGGCAGAGCCCTATAGCACTCCTACACTCAAGCTACACTAAGACAGCTTTTTTCCCTAAGCCCCTCGCCCATTCAGGAGCTTTAATGTTCGATCAATAAACGTCATGCTTGCTTTACTCTTGACTCGTGGTCCGGCGTCTTCAATCACCAACTTTGCCAGGACACAAGCTCAGAACCAGTACCCCAGTGTCACCACCATGCCAAGCTTCGCTGGCACAATTTGACCAACAAAATAACAGCGTTGGATTTTAACCCAAAGAGTAAAATAACCACAAATCCATATTGGTGGCCTCGGGGGGACGCTCAGGTAGAGCACTTGCCTAGCAAGTTCAAGGTCTGGCTTCCATCCCCAGCACCAAAAAAACCACCCAAAACCATAGTGTAAATGATTGAATAAATAAAAGACAAAGAGACAAGTCTTTCTTACAGGACAAATCAGAATAATGAAGAGTAAGTGTAGAAAGAAAGAAGTAACACAAACCAACCATTTCACAGGACTGGGTTCCATCTCCAGCACCACAAAAAATAATTAGAAAATTATTAATGGAATACAAAGGAATGATGATAGTTGAAGTTAAGAAGGCTGGGCACCGTGGCTCAAGCCTGTAATCCTAGCTACTCAGGACGCAGAGATCAGGAGGATCGTGGTTCAAGGCCAGTCCAGGCAAATAGCGCTTGAGACTGTCTCAAAAACTCATCACAAAAAGGGGCTGGTGGAGTGGCTCAAGGTGTAGGCCCTGAGTTCAAACCCCAGTACCACAAAGAAAAAAGGCGGCTGTCTCTGGAGGGGGTGAGGATGGTAACCAGGGGAATTCAGGGTGGAGAAAGGGTCTGCTGTGTTGAGAGCTTCCTGTTCCTGACCTGACCTGATGTGGACATCCTGTTCACAGCCTTTTTTTTTTTTTTGAGTGGGAGTGGAATTTGAACTCAAGGCTTTGCACTTGCAAAGCAGGTGCTGTACCACGTGAGCCACACTTCCAGTCCATTTTGCTCTGGTTGTTGGAGATGTGTCTCCAGCGATTTTGCCTCCACTGGCCTTGAACCTTGATCCTCCCAATCTCAGTCTTCTAAATGGCTGGATTACGGCTGTGAACCACCAGCACCAGGTTCACAGCCATTCTTTAGATCACACGTTTGTCACGATCCTGTGGCGTGAGGACAGCTCACACTGGCTTGTGAGAAGCCATTGTTACATTTAAAGAATTTGAGAATAGAGCATAGGCAGCACAGTGGTAGCCTGAAATGGACCAAAAATAGATTCCTATTGTATGTTGGGACTAGAAAGCCCAAGCCAGGTGTGGTGGTGCATGCCTGTAGTCTCAGCTACTCTGGAGGCCCAGGAGTTCAAGATCAAGCTGGATAGACCCCATCTCAAAAAATTCAAATGAAAAATTAATTTTAAAAAGTCAACATAGTAGTGCATGCCTGTAATCCCAGCACTCAGGTGGCTAAGGCAGATAGAGTTTGAGGCCAGCCTGGGCTACATAGCAAGACCCTGTCTCTTGCCAAAAAAAAAAAAAAAAAAAAAAAAGATAATAATTAAAAACAAAAAAAAGAACCACTATGTTACCTGGTACCAGGTATTCATTACCTATCATTTATTTGTTTGTTTATTTATGCATTTATTTCATTGCTGGGGATGGAACCCAGGGCCTCATGCACGCTAGGTAAGGGCTCTACTGAGGTACACTCCTGGCCCTATTTATTTATTTTATGTTAGAGACAGGGTCTCTGTACGTGGCTAAGGCTGGCCTTGATCTCCTGAGCTCAAGTGAACCTCCTATGTCAACCCCTGGAGTATCTGAGGCCACAGGCGTCTGTCGCTGCACCCAGTTGTTACTACTACTTTAGAATAGTTTGGATATCCCACCCTCTGGGCATCTGGCTGAGGGCTCCCCCAGTTTTGGTCCTGCTTTTTTTTTTTTTTAGTGGTACTGGGGATTGAACTCAGGGCTTCATACTTTTTAAGCAGGTGCTCTGCTACTTGAGCCACTCCACCAGTCCTTTTTTGTGATGGGTATTTTTCGAGATAGGGTCTCCTGAACTATTTGCCTGGGCTGGCTTCGAACCGTGATCCTCCTGATCACTGTTTCCTGAGTAGCTAGGATGATAGGCGTGAGCCACCAGCTTCGGGCTAAATTACTGTTTTCTGCAGAATATGCATGGAGACCTCTTGCTTCTTGTGTGGAAGATGACAGTGAGCTGAGCCCTGTCACCTGTCCCTGGAGAAAGGTTATCGCTTGGAGGAGAAGCAGGAAAGGTCGGGTTGGGGGGGGCCACGCCTGTCTCCCCTCTGCTGGGGGAGATAAAGGTCGCTCGGCTTCCTTCAAGCAGGGCAGGGGGGCCACCGAGTATAAAAGGGTGACAGAAGGCATTGGAGACGCCAAGCACCCTTGTGTCCCAGGCGTGTCTGTCGGGACCATGGCCAAGTGCACACTGTGGCTGCTGCTGGCTCTCTGGTTCCTGGCCGGGGAGCTATGGCCGGCGGCCGAGGCCCGGACGGTGCCCTATGGGGTGAAGCTGTGTGGCCGAGAATTCATCCGAGCTGTCATCTTTACCTGCGGGAGCTCCCGGTGGAGACGGAGGGACATCCTGACTCAGGAAGCGATGGGTGAGGCCTGGGAAGGAACAGGTGGCTCTGTGGGTCCCCGGAGACCACTGGGACAGAGATGCGAGGAGGGACTGGGGGAGCTTGGGAGTTTGCCCTGCCACACACAGCTGGGGACAATTGCCCAGCCCGGCAGCCAGGCCCAGGGCTCAGGGTTTGGCAAACTGCATTGCTGGGTGGTGGCAGCCAGCCAGCCACAGGGACTAGGAATCAGAGGATGTCTGTCCACTCTTTCCCGAGTCCCTGCTGTGTGTCCAGCCCTGGGCTAAGCTAAGGCTGCTTCCTTGCATTGGTACAGGGGGTCACCGCTAGTGGAAATGACACTACTGGCTTATGGAGCAGGTTAGGAGGGTGTGGTGACTATGTGGCAGGTTTTACCACCTGGTGGGTGACTCTCCTAGCACCTGGTTTCTCCTAGCCCAGCCTCTTCATCTTTGAGTGGGAGACATAGTTGGTGAGACTGAGGTATTGTTAAGTGGCGTAATTAAGACAAAACAATTAAGGTCACAGCCTAAGCAGGGCAAGGGGCTCTGTCTGGGCCAGGTGGAAGGGGCAGGAGAGTTGGCGAAAGAATAGATGGTCATGATAGTGATGATGACAGAGGAGAGAAGGGAATGGGTGCATGGATAGATGGATGATAGATGGATGGATGGATGGATGGATGGATGGATGGATGGATGAGTGGATGCATGGATGAGTGGATGGATGGATGGATGGATGGATGAGTGGATGAGGGATGGATGGATGGATGAGTGGGTGGATGGATGGATGGATGGATGAGTGGGTGGGTGGATGGATGGATGAGTGGATGGATGGATGGATGGATGAGTGGATGGTGGATGGATGGATGAGTGGATGGGTGGATGGATGGATGAGTGGATGGGTGGATGGATGGATGGATGAGTGGGTGGATGGATGGATGGATGAGTGGATGGATGGATGGATGAGTGGATGGATGGATGGATGAGTGGATGGGTGGATGGATGGGTGAGTGGATGGATGGATGGATGGTAGATGGATGGATGGATATGACTGTGCACACAGAATACACTTTGCCTTGGTTCAAATTGTAGCTCTACCACTTAATAGCTATGTTTTCTTTGCACATTCTGTAAGGAGCCAGAGTCTTCTTTGGTAAGGGGGGGGGCAAAACCCATTCATGTAGTTGTCAGTGAAAGGAGTGAAAGTATTAACTCACTAAAGCACTTAAAACAGTATCTGGCAAACAATAAGTGCTCAATAAATGCTCAATGGCTTTTTGAGTACTTAACATGTTCAGAATATTGTTATAGCTTTTATTACTATGAAGTCCTCTATAGATATAAAACTCTAGAATGTAGACTTATTATTTTCCCCACTTTGGTTTGTCTAAAGAAACTTGGGAAGGCTAGCTCCAAAATGCATGCTTTTAACTACTAGGTCCTTGATAAATAAAGAGTAAGAGGAAATAAATGATAAGAATGTCAAACTTAGTAAGGGTGACTAATTTGGTCTTTGAAACTAGTGGCAGAGGCAATATTTGAACCCAGGACTGAGTGGAATTCAATCCTTGAATCACAAGAATAGAGAAGTAGCCAGGTCATTCTGGTCGCAGGCAGAATGTGAGCCTTGAGGCTGAATTCTCTTCATCTTTTGCAGGGGAAGCCTTCCCAGACACAGACGCTGATGCAGACAGCCTGGCAGAAGAGATGGATGAGACCGTGGGCTCCAGTGAGTGGCTGTCCCTAACCAAGCCTCCGCAGGCCTTCTATGGTGGTCATCACAGCTGGCCAGAGACCCCTGGAGCTCTTCGGAGCAGGCGAGAAGTCCTGTCTGGTCTCTCCAGCACCTGTTGCAAGTGGGGCTGTACCAAGAGCGAAATCAGCAGCCTTTGCTAAGCCAGGAGCTGGACAACAGGGGACACCAAGGTCAATGTCGCAGCCCTGCCGGCCACTCAGCTTGCATCTGACCAAGCACCTGTCCTTCGACTCCCATCCCTTTATTCATCTGCAAGTCTCAGAGGTCAGGTGCTGCAGACTTGGGCTGAGGCTCAGGCTCAGCCATCATCCCCAGTCCCCATCCAACCCTCACCTTTGACCAAACTATGGTGGCCCTGTGCCCTCTGAGCCAGCTGGGCCCCTGCCTGACCAAACAGACAATCCTGATTTTGACTCCTAACCTCTTCCCGGCCCCAACCATGCTTCTCCCCGACTCAAAACAGTCCCCTGCCAGCACTGTAACCTTACGCAAAGTGGCCACCCTGAGACCACAGCCAAACTTTTGTCCTCCAGCTTCTGTCCCTTCCAACACCGCCATCTCCATGCTGTGCACCCCAGGGATGGTGGCCCGGCACCCATAACCTTAAACCTGAGGCCGGAAGCACAGCGCATGCCTCAGAACCTTCCCGATCCCCAACAATAAAAGCTGCAAAGGATTTGCGCAGAGAGAGTGTGTCACTGGGGACTGGGTGGGAAATGGAGGGGGTGGGACAGGTTTTACTGAGCTGGGCATCGCCGTCGAGTTCCCCAGAGGCCCCAGGTCGCCTCTGCAGTCACCCCCCACCCCTCGTCCCAGCCCCAGCCCGGGACTTCCCGCCAGGGAAGGGGCGGGGACCGAGCCGAGGTGCGGAGGCGGCGGGCGTGCCACTCCGCTTCCCGTCCCCGCCTCCTGTGGGCTGGACGCGCGCGGGGCGCGAGCGGCTGGAGGCTCTGGGGGTCCCCGGGGAGCCATGCGGGGGACCCCAGCTGCTTTCCTCTGGCGGTGGCCGAAGCTGGAGCTGCTGCGGGTGGCGCTGGTCGTACTGTGCCACGCCACCCGTCCCCAGGGTGAGAGCCGGGGTTGCCAAGCGCGCGCGCGCCCCGGAGCGCATTGGCGGGCGGGGGTGGGGACCCTGGGGCGACAACAGGATGTGGCTGCCAGAGGGGAGGGGGACATGTGTGGCCCACAGCCACCCCCTTCCTACTACCCATTTCCGTAAGGGACCCCAAAGGCCCGCTACGCTTGGTACAAGTGAAGGAAAGGGAGACTGGGGTGCGGCGCAGTGGTTAGGGCTTGTCCGCACGTGCCAGGCTCTTCTATCCTCCCCACCAAAATATAAGTCCCGGAAAGTTCAGGTTGTGGGGTGTGCAGGCGGCTGGGTGTGGGTGTGGGTTTGCCCCTCTTCACTGGGGACCCTCTGCCTCCCTCTCCAGGAAGCCCTGGGCCAATGCAGTGCTATGGAGTTGGACCCATGGGGGATTTGAACTGCTCCTGGGAGCTTCTTGGGGACCTGGGAGTCCCCTCTATGCTGCACCTCCAGAGCCAGAAGTAGTGAGTACCCTGGAGTAGTTTGGGGAAACTGAGGCAGTGGAGCTGGCCACTCAGGTCCCGGCTTGCCCTGCCTCCCTAGCTCTCCCACACTCTCGATCTTCTCCCAGTTCCAGGTTCCCTCATCCTTGCTGTGTGACCCCCTCTTTCCTCCCTTCTTAAGTGGCATAACGGCCAGGTATGGTGGTTCACAGCTGTAATCCCAGCACTTAGGAGGCTGAGGCAGGAGGATTGAGAGTTTGAGGCCAGCCTGAGCTGTATAGCAAGACCTTAGCTCAAAAATAAAATTATAGGACAATAATCATAGCACGTGCCTCCCAGAGCTGCTTCTGCAGATTCAATCATTTAACGATACGAAGCTGCTTTTTATTGCTGGGTGGCTTTAGTCAAGAAGCTTTATGTATCTGAGCCTGGTGCTCCGAACTGCAGCTGTGAAAGAGCCTGCGTGAGAGACCTTGTTTCTTCATGGCGAATGTCAGCTGGAATTTGTGTTTCAGCTGGTCTAAGAAAGGGAAGAGCCAAGAGAGGGCCGTGGACGTGGGGATGGGGTGCAGGCCGCTGTGGAGTTTTTTTAAGTCGTAGCTAAAACGCACATAACATATTTTGTTTGTTTTTTGTAGTGCTAGAGATGGAACTCAGGGCTGGGCCCACCCCAGTCCCATCTTCATCAGTTCTGAGTGTCCAGTTCATTGGCATTCAGTACGTCGTATTGTCTTGTGGTCTTCACCACCACCCCTCTCCACGAGGGAAGCCGAGTGTTAATTGAGGGATGTGGGGGAGTCAGAGAAGGGCCTCTCCTTTCATTGATGAGATGAAATTTACATAACATAAGCTATTTTTAAATTTTTTCATTTTTTTCTTTCATAAGCTATTTTAAAGTATACAAGTGATCCAGGCATGGTGGTGCACGCCTGTAATCCCAGCACTTAGGAGGCTGAGGCAGGAGGATTGAGAGTTTGAGGTCAGCCTGGGCTACATAGTGAGATCCTCTCTCAAAAAACAAACAAGCCACAGGATGTCAGTGGCTCACACCTATAATCTCAGCTACTCAGGAGGCAGAAATTAGGAAGATCACGGTTCAAAGCCAGCCCCAGCAAGTAGTTCGAGAGACCCTATCTTGAAAAAAAAAAAACTCGTCCCAGAAAAGGACTAGTGGAGTGGCTCAAAATGTAGGTCCCAAGTTCAAACCCCAGTACCAGAAAATAAACAAACAAACAAACAAACAAAAAAACGGGCAGGGCTGGCAGAGTGGTTCAAGTGGTAGAGCACCTGTCTAGCAAACATGAGGCCCTGAGTTCAAACCCCAGTACTGTCTCCCCCAAAAAAGAATTATTGAAGTGTACAATTCAGAGGCCCATCAGTTCCAAGTAGTTGTAAAACAAACAAAAACATTATTTACTTTTTTTTCTCTCATCCTGGGTATTGAATTCAGGGCTTCCCACTTGCTGCTGGGCACTTGAGCCAGCCCATCAGTCCTTTTTTACGTTTGTTTTTCAGATAGGATCTCACGCTAACTTTGCCCAGACCAGCCTGACTGATCCACCTACCTCTGCCCCAGAGTAGCTGGGATTACAGGCATGTCCCACTACACCTGGCCCTCGCAGTTGAAAATTTTTTCCCCCACTCAAAAAGCCAACCTGGACTGATTAACAGTCACCCTAATGCCCCCTCCCTCCAGCCCTAGCAACTCTGGTTGGCCTTTCTGTCTCTATGGGTTTAACTTGGAACATTTCATGCGAATCGGGTCGTACATGTGGCTTTGCACTCAGCACCCTGTGCTCCTCCATGTTACAGCAAGAATCACCATTGCTACGAGTGTGTGTGAGTGAAAGTTTTTGTTCAAGTCTCTGTTTTGGGATTTTTTTTTTTTTTGGCAGCACTGGGGTTTGAACTCAGGGCCTTATGCTTGCTAGACAGGCTCTCTACCACTTGAGCTACTCCACCGGCTCTTTTTTGTGATGGTTTTTTTTTCGAGCTGGGGTCTTGAGAACTATTTGCCCAGGCTGACTTTGAACTGTGATCCTCCTGATCTCTGCGTCCTGAGTAGCTGGAATTACAGACGTGAGCACCGGCGCCCGGCCGGCTTGTGCTTCATTGGCTTGGATTTGTAGTTGAGGAAGCGAGGCACAGAGAAGTCAAGTGCTCTTGCCAGATCACACAGCTCTGAGGTGGCACTGCTAGCTTTAAACCCAAACAGAGCAGGCTGCCGGCATGGTCCCCAGACAACGGTGGGTATCAAATGACTCTGGGTCAAAGCTAGTGTCATTCTCATTGTCACATCTCCCCTCACAGCCATTCCAACAGAACCCAGACAGTGACGGTGCCTGCTGGGCAGAACTGGGTCACCATTCCACGGGGACATCTCACCACATCTGACAAGCTCCTTGTCTGGGGGACCCAGAGGGGCCGACCTCTGTGGCCTCCAGTCTTCGTGAACCTGGAAACCCAAAGTAACGTGGCAGGCGGGTGGGGCGCTGTGTGGAGCGAGTGGTCACAGAGGCCCCCTGCTCAGTGGCTTTGGCCTGTCCTTCCCCAGTGAAGCCCAGCGTCCCCTGGCTGTACCCTGACGTGGACTTTTCTCAAGATGAGCCCCTGGAGGCCACGATCCAGTGGGCGCCACCCACATGGCCATCCCACAAGGTTCTGATTTGCCAGTTCCACTACCGAAGGTGCCAGGAGTCGAGCTGGAGCCTGGTGAGTGCCTGGAACCCTTTTCCCCAGCCTGTCCCCAGCAAGGTCGCCAAATCAGAGCCTCAGCCCCAGGCTCACTGCGTGTCTGGGCACAGAGTCTGCCAGCACCATTCACTGAAGGGCTGGGCAGGTACCTTAACCGGCTCAAAAGAGTCCTGTGTGGAAAGCACTGCAGTTAGCTGGGCCTCACACCTGTCATCCCAGCTACCTGGGGAGGCTGAGATCAGGAGGATCGAGGTTCCAGGGCGGTCTGCTCAAAAAGCTCATGAGACCCCATCTCAACAGAAAAAAGCTAGGCTTGGTGGTGCACGCCTGTCATCCCAGCTACGGCAAGAAGTGTAAAATAGGATTGTGATCCAGGCCATCTCTAAAATAGCCAGAGCAAAATGGACTGGAGGTGTGGCTCAAGTGGTAGAGCACCTGCCTTGCAAGTGTGAAGCCCTGAGTTCAAACCCCAGTCCTGCAAAAATAAAAAAATTAAAAACAAACAAACAAAAAACCCCTGCAAGTCCCATGTCCTGGAACCCCTGAGTCCTGGGCAAATCAGGGTGGTTGGTGACTCTGGACACAGAAGTTCTTGTCTCCTCACCTCAGCCCCCCTCCCCATGGCTCTCCCCTGTCTCTCTCTCAGTTGGAGCCAGAACTGAAGACCATCCCACTGACCCCCGTGGAGATGGAGGACATGGAGCTCGACACCTCTTATGAGGTGTCTGGCCGCTGCCGAGTGGAGGAAGAGGATCTGTGGGGCGAATGGAGTCCAGTTCTGTCCTTCCAGACACCGCCCTCTGGTGAGGACAGGCTCACCACAAGCCTTGGCCCCGCCCCTCCTGGAAATCTGACCAGTCAGAGCCCTCTCACTTGTCCCCACCCTTCCTCCTCCTTGCCAGCTCCCAAAGATGTGTGGGTATCCAAGAGTTGCTGCCTGACATCCTGCACACAGGAGCCCCTGCTTCTGTGGAAGGTGAGGTGTGAGGTCCACTTGCATTTCTTTGCAGGGGTCAGGACACCCCCAAATAATGATGGCAGAAACAACACACTTGAACCCACTGTCCTTTCTTTTATTTATTTATTTTTTGTGGTACTGGGATTTGAACTCAGGGCCTACACCTTGAGCCACTCCACCAGCCCCTTTTTTTGTGATGGGCGTTTTTCGAGATAGGGTCTCGTGAACTATTTGCCTGGGCTGGCTTTGAACCTCGATCCTCCTGATCTCTGCCTCCTGAGTAGCTGGGATTACAGGCGTGAGCCACTGGAGCCCAGCCAGAGCAAGTCCCCACCAAGGTCACCTGCTCCTGAGATGCCTGAGACGCAAGATGGGTACAGGTGCTCCAGGCAAGGCACTGAGATGCAGAAGTCTAGATGCAGGACTGGAGCTCCATGCCATGACGTGACATGTGACATTGTGCTAAGAGCTCCGTGCTGGTGTACAGCATGTGTTCTAAGATGGTAGAAAAAAGGCCAGGCGCTGGTGGCTCACACCTGTAATCCTAGCTACTCAGGAGGCAGAGATCAGGAGGATCAAGGTTCGAAGCCAGCCTGGGCAAATAGTTAAGAGACTCTATCTCAAAAAACCCCATCACGAAAAAGGACTGGTGGAGTGGCTCAAGGTGTAGGCCCTGAGTTCAAAACCCAGTGCCACCAAAAAAAATGTTGAAGAAATAAAAATTTTCCACAGGCAGACATGCTGGTACACACTTGTAATCCCTTGAATCCAGAGACAGAGGTAGGAAGATGGTGGTCCGAGGCCAACCACGGGCAAAGTTAGTGTGAGATTCTATCTTAGAAACTAAGGTAGATCGTGGCTGAAGTCCAGCCCGGGCAAATAATGCTGAAGACCCCATCTCTGGGAAGAACCAGAGCAAAATGGACTGGAGGCATGGCTCAAGTGGTAGAGCACCTGCTTTGCAAGCTCAAAGCCCTGAGTTCAAATCCAGTCCCACGATGGGGGTATCCTGTGTGTGTATGTAAGGGCTTGATATGTTGTTAGGAATTTTTGCATTCAGTTTGAATCACTACAATACTGCGTTCAAGCATCATTGAGCTTGGTAACTGTTTTCTTTTTCTTTCTTTCTTTTTTTGGTGCTCTACCACTTGACCCAAGCCCCCAGCCCTTTTTAAAGTTATTTTTCAGGTAGGGTCTACTGTGCATGCGTGGAGCCGTCTTCAGACTGGCATCCTCCTACCTATGCCTCCTGAATAGCTGGGACCTCAGATGTGAACCACCATGCTTGGCCTGTTGGTTGAGATGGGGTCTTGGTAACTTTCTTGCCTGGAGCTGACCTCCCAATCTCTACCTCCCTTAGTACCTGGGGTTCCAGGTGGACACCACGATGCCCGGTTCCTTTTGGTTGTTTGAGACTGAGTCTCACTGTGCTGTCCTGGTAAGTACCCAATAAGCAGGGAACATTAACCCTTCTTTCCGTCCTCTCTCAGGCCCCGGGGCCCTGTGCACAGGTGAGCTACAGGGTGTGGTTCCAGGTTGGAGAGAAGAATCTGCCTCAGGAAGAGGTCCCCTGTTGCAGGTCTCCTGTCCCCATGAGGGCGGAGTGGGCTGCAGTGTCTGCTGTCAACACCACCACTTGGGCGTCTCTCACCAACCTCTCTTTGGTCTGTTTGGGTAAGGCACTGTGACCTTCTACTACCCAGGACCTTGGAGGGGCAGCAGGGGACTTCCGAGTGGGCAGCCAAGACTTCTCCCTGTCACCCTCTAGCCCCTGAGTCTGCCCCCCATGGCGTGGAGGTCAGGCACATTGCTGGGAGCCCAGAGCTACTGGTGACCTGGCAGTGGGGGACCGGGGATCCAGGGGAGTACGTGGTGGACTGGGTTCGAGACGGTGACCCCCAGGAGAACCTCAGCTGGGTCCGGCTCTCCCCAGGGAACCTCAGTGCATTGTTATCAGGTAAGGCCCCAGGATGCCTAGGTTCCCGTCTGTATTAGTCTGTTTTCTGTTGCTATGACAAAATACCCAAGGCTTGGTATTTGGAAAGAAAAGTTAGCTCATAGTTTTGGAGGCCTGAGAGCATGGTTCTGGCTCTGGTGAGGACTTTCTGACTACATTCCAACATAGCAGATGGGATCATGGTGGAATCCTGTGCCAGAGGGAGATATCACATGGTAATTTAGGAAGCCACAGGAAGTTCAAATTGTAACATTAATCTGGGCACCAGTGGCTCTCGCCTGTAATCCTAGCTACTCAGGAGGCAGAGATCAGGAGGATCATGGTTGGAGGCCAGCCCAGGCATGTAGTTCGAGAGACCCTATCTAGAAAAAAACCCATCACAAAAAAAGGGCTGGTGGAGTGGCTCAAGTGTTAAGAGTACCTGCTTAGTAGTGTAAGGCCGTGAGTTCAGACTCCAGTACTGCCAAGAAAAAATTGTAACATTAAGTAGAAGAGGTGTGGGGGGGGTCCAGAAAAGAGTTCTGGACTGGAGATTGATACTGGGGAGTCTTTGGTATAGGACATGGGAGAGTGAGGAGTTGGGTGAGAAATTGGGGGCAGAGACCCAAAGCTTACAAGTACATATGAAAAAAAGCAAGAGGAGTCCCAGCCAGGCTTGGTGGTGCACACCTGTAATCCCAGCCCTTGGTTGGTGAGGTGGAAGGATGGGTTATATTGTGAGAAAAGGGAGGAAGGGAGGGAGGGGGAGAGGGGGAGAGGGAGAGAAAAGAGAGAGAAGAAAGAGGAGGGGGAGAGAGCCCCAATTTCCCGGTTAGGGAAGGCTATGCAGAAGAAGCCTGTTCGAGGAGGGACCCCAAGAGCCTCGGCGGCCCCTCATGTCTGCAGCTGACCTCTTCTGAGTCCCCGTGCCTCTCTCAGGTGCCTGCACTTGTATTCGTTGGCGCCAGGGCCCTTTCTGGCCAGTGACACATTTGCCTGCTTGGACAGCAGTGATGACAAATGAAATGGGGGGAGGCTGGAGAAACGCCTCAACTTCCTCCCTTGGGAGGCAGAGTGTGCTCTCTGCTGCCCCCACAGGTCCTCAGTGGAACCTCAGGTGTCACCATAGAATTTTTTTTTTTTTTGCAGTGCTGGGCTTTGAACTTGAGCCACTCCGCCAGCCCTTTTTGTGTTAGGTATCTTTGAGACAGGGTCTCATGAACTACTTGCCTGGGCTGGCTTTGAACCATGACCCTCCTGGTCTCTGCCTCCTCAGTAGCTGGGATTACAGGCGTGATCTGCTGGTGCCCGGCTTCACCATGGGAACTTGATCCTGTTTTTTTTTTTTTGTTGCGTTGTGTTGTGTTTTGAGACAGGGTCTCCCTGTGTAACACAGGCTGGCCTTGAACTCGTGATCTTCCTGCCTCAGCCTCCCAAATGCTGGGATTACAGGAGTACATGACCATACCTGATGGAAGTTTGTGCCTTACTGTATCTTCCATCCCTGTCTCACTTCTCACTGTTCTGTTGGTAATTCCTGGGGACCCAGGATAAATGACTTACACCCAAAGCTGTATCCCAGGCTGTCCTGCTGGGGACCCTAGTGACAGGGAGAGGAGAGTCTGCCAGTTAGCACAGGATAACAACCTATGGAGTGGACAATGGGTGTGGGGGGGTGGAGAGCAATTATAAGTGGCCTTTTTCTCCTCTCCCACTCAGGGAATTTTGAAGAAGGGGTCCCCTATCGAATCACGGTGACAGCAGTGTCTCCTGCGGGCTTGTCCCCTGCCCCTTCAGTCTGGGTGTTCACAAAGGAACTAGGTAAGAAGTGGGTTGGGGAGGGGGGCTGTCCTGGAATCCTGGTAGATCTGAACTGATTTCTCCCTCCCAGCACCCCTACTGGGACCAGCACTTTGGCGACTCCAAGATGACCCCCCAGGGACTCCTGCCATAGCGTGGGGAGAAGTCCCAAGACACCAGCTACGGGGCCACCTCACGCACTATACCCTGTGTGCACAGAGCGGAACCAGACCCTCCGTCTGCACAAACGGTGAGCATCACTGCCCCCCAAGAGACCCATGATGTCATCCACGCCACCCACTGTTGCCACAAGGGCCTTCTTGACTCTCTCAGCCCCTGGGGACACACGGTATCACCAAGTCCCTAGAGACCAAATAACTCTCGGCTCTGACGTAATGAGCTCTCCTTGTGCTGTTACAAATGAAGTTCCAGCTTGTACTTACTGACATTGCAAGAAGCCTGTCGTATTTTGTTAAGTGACAAAGATACAAGAAGTACAAAACTCTGGGAGATGACTCCATTTTTGGTCAAATAAACCCAGCATTGAGCGAAGCCAAGGGATAAATATGCAAAGAAGTTCCTCTGAACGTTAACAGGGTTTGTAGGATTACGTGTCATTTTTCTTTTTCTTACCCTTGGGTATAGGCTAAATTTTTCCTGTGAGCACAAATTCCTTTTTAAAAATATCATTATTGCTGGTGGAGTGACTCAAGCGGTAGTCACTTCTGCCTAGCAAGCATGAAGCCCTGAGTTCAAACCCCAGTACGAAAAAAAAATCAAAATATCATTATTGCCGGGTGTGGTGGGGCATACCTGTAATTCCAGCTACTCTAGATGTGGAGGCTGGAGGCTGTGGGTTTGAGGTCAGCCTAAGCAACATTATCTAATCCCTATCTGAAAGACAAAATGCAAACAGAAGGGCTGAAGGAGCGGCTCAAGTGGTAGAGCGCTTGCCTAACAAGTGCAAGGCCCTGGGTTCAAACCCCAGCACTGAAAAAAACGAAAATTTGCAGCACACAAGAAAATACACGCTGGGATCTCATGAACTTTTTGCCTGGGCTGACCTCAAACCTCAATCCTTCAGATCTCTGCCTGTTGAGTAACTGGGATGACAGGTATGAGCTACCGTGTTGGCTTTTTTTTTTTCTTCTTTTCTTTTTTTGAGACGGTCTCACTAGGTAGCCCAGGCTGCCTGCAACTCTACTCCTGCCTCAGCCTCCTGGTGTGCTGGGATTACAGGTGTGTACTACCATGCCTGGCCCCTACCTTCAAAAGAGAAACTCACTCTAAATACACGTGGCAAAATTATATAAAGATCATTAGGTGAAAAGTATAAAGGAGGCTGGGTACAGTGGCTCACACCTGTAATCCTAACTGCTTGGGAGACAGATTGGGAAGACAGCAGCTCCAGCCCAGCCTGGGCAAAAAAAGTAAGTAAGACCCCATCTGAACAGAAGAAAGTTAAGCATGATAGCCCGTGTCTGTCATCCCAGCTACAGCAGAAGGGGTAAAATAGGAGGCTCTTGGATCAGGCCAGCCTGGGCAAAAAGCGAGACCCCCCATCTCCAAAACAACCAGAAGAAAAAGCACTGGAGGCTTAGCTCAACTGGTAGAGTGTCTGTCTAGCAAGTTTGAAGTCCTGAGTTCAAATCACAATATGGCCAAAGGGAAAAAAAAAGAATAAAGGGACGAAAAGATGTGGCTCAGTGGTGAAGTGCTTGCCTAGCATGCAGGAGGCCCTGGCATCCTGGTGGAGTGGCTCAAGTGCTAGAGTGCCTGCCAAGTGAGCGTGACGCCCTGAGTTCAAGCCCCAGGACTGCCATAAAATTAAAAATTAAAAAAAAATAGTGAGCTAGAGGCCCTGCGCTTGCTCCCCAGCACCACGTGTCTATAGTTAATATATCTAATTATGACTAATCTTACTATAGTCTCTAGATTGGCCCCTGAATCTTCTGACAAGGGTTTACACTTTGCCTGTTTTCAGCTGATGACATAATCAAGACCCCCCCCCTCTCTCTCTCTGTGTATATATAGTGCTTGCTTGTTGCTTGGTTGGTTTTGAGGCAGGCTCTTGCTAGGTAGCCCAGACTAACCTTAAACTCCCAATCCTTCTGCCTCAGCCTCCCAAGTGCTGGGATTACAGACTTGAGCCACCACACCGGCTTCTCTATCAATATATCTTTTTTTTTTTTTTTTGGTGGTACTGCAGTTTGAACTCAGGGTCTCATGCTTGCAGGCACTCTACCACTTGAGCCACTCCGCAGTCCCGTTTGGTGTTGGGCATTTTCTTTTCTTTATTTTTCCCTTCATGCCCCTGTGTTGGGTTTTTTCGAGATGGGGTCTCGTGAACTCTTTGTGAGGGCTGGCTTTGAACTGGGATTCCCCTGACCTCTGCCTCCTGAATAGCTAGGATTACAGGCGTGACCTGCTGCACCGGGTTTATAGCAATATATCTTGATCCATGTTCATGTCTCCTATAATCCTGTAACAATCTGAAATGCTATATACTCTTTTGGTTAAACAAACAAAGGACAGCTCACTGAGAAAAGTGAAAGAGAATAGTCCAGCACTGTGGCACACGACTGTAGTTTCGGCTACTCAGGGGGATGAGGCAGGAGAACCACTGGCACTCCAGCATTTGGGGCTACCGTGGGTTTGGGTGACGCTCCCTTCACTGGGTTCTGTGCAGGTGAGAGATGTGTTGTTCATTAATTCAATATTTCTTCAAATGTGTCACCTTTTAAGTGCTAGGATCAAACCCAGGGTCTCCCGTATGGTAGGCACATGCTGTACCCCCTGAGCCACACCCCTCGTGGGAAACCCACAGACATAGGCAATCCAAATACTATCTAAGCAGTGATAAGCGCTGAGTAGAGAATGAAGCAGGGAAGGTGGGTGGTGCAGGGGTAGAATTTTAAATGAAAGGGGTTTCATTTAAAATCCTCATTGAGGAGGTCACATTTGAGTTGACGAGGAAGGAATATCTGGAGTGTTGCAGTCAGAGGGAAGAGGAGGTGCAAAGGCCCTGTGGTAGAATTTCACCACCTCCCCAACATCTCTGATGTGTCCTTCAGTGAGCAGCAGCACCCGGACTGTCACTCTTCCCGACCTTCACTGGGGTCCCTGTGAGCTGTGGGTGACTGCGTCCACCATTGCGGGACAGGGACCCCCTGGTCCCAGCCTCCGGCTTCACCTACCAGGTAGAGGGTCTAGGGTGGTACCGCTTGCTTCATTTGGGGGTGGTGTTTATCTGGAGTCATTAGTTGGGTTTCAGCGGGCAGACAACCTTGAGACTTGAGGGGAGGATTATTTAGGGGAAGGGCAGGGCTGTAGGTGGAGTCCAGGACCTCAAGCATGCTAACCTCAACCTCCAACGCCTCAGGGCACTTCCATTCTGCTAAATGCTGCTGTATTTTATCTGACAATGTGTCTGGGACCGTTTCACCCCATCTCTTATCTTGACCTGTCCCAGTGCTGCCCTACTTGCAAGCCCCACCCCTCCCCAAGAGTCCCCCCCTTAGCTACACCCATTTCCAAGCCCCACCTTCCCTGATTACCTCGCCCCTTAGCCACACCCACGCACAGGCCCCGCCCCTCAAGAGTCCCATCCATAGCCACACCCACTCACAAGCCCCACCTTCCCTAACTTACCTATAGCCACACCCACCCACAAGCCCCGCCCCTACCCAAGATGCTCCCACCCATTCACAAACCCCACCTCTCAAGCTTCCCACTCACAAGCCCCGCCCCACCCAAGATGCTCCCACCCTTTAGCCACACCCATACCCAAGCCCCGCCCCATCCATCTGCCCCTCTTTCTCCTCCCTCATATCCCAAATTTTTCTCCTCCCTCCCCCACCAGATAACGCCATGAAGTGGAAAATTCTGCCAGGTGTCCTCTCCCTGTGGGTTCTGTTCCTCATGGGCTGTGGCCTGAGCCTGGCCACCTCGGGAAGGTGAGGCTGTCGGACATTAGGTGTTGGGAGAGGACCCTGGGATGTTCTTGGCGCTGTCACCTGAATCCCCTGCCCTGACTCTTACCTGCTCACCAGGTGCCTCCACCTGCGACACAAGGTGCTGCCCCGCTGGGTCTGGGAGAAGGTGCCTGATCCTGCCAACAGCCATTCTGGCCAGCCCCACATAGAGGTGAGCAAAAAGGCCTGCTTGCTGGAGCCCTCTGGGGACCAGGGGACCCTGGGAAGTGGGGAGGGGAGGGGAGAGCAGGGCTGCAGCCTCCTCTCTTCCAGGACGTGTTCCAGACCCCACCCCCCCAGGACTCACCCATCCTGGAGGTGGAGGAGATGGAGCCATTGCCCATGCCGGAGACCCCCCCGGCCTCAACCCCTCTTCACTTTGGATACGAGAAACACTTCCTGCCCACGCCTGAGGAGCTGGGCCTTCTGAGGCCCCCCAGTCCCCAGGTCCTGGCCTGAGCCTTGCCAGCCCTGGGTTAGCCTGCTTGACAGGTGAAGATGCTGAGGCTCAGAGAGGCTGAGTCACCTGACTGAGGACACACAGCCAGGCTGGAGCTAGAAGGGCCCCTTTGGAGAAGGCCCGGCCTCAGCAGGGAAGACACAGATGGATGAAGGAACAAAGGAAAATACATGAAATTGAGACTGGCAGCTGCCTCCCCAAATGTGTCCTGCTGAGGAGAACCACCTTTGGGTCTAATCCCAGCCTCCCTTGCAGCTAGGTCGGCCATGGACTGAGTTCTCCACAGATGTGGGCACAAGTGACATGTGCCCCCAAGGACCCAAAAACACTGGGTGGGGGTCCTCCACACTCTGCCTTTGCCTGTGTGTGGGAACAAGCACATGGTCAGCTCTGGCCTACCCGCGGTGACAGTGGGACAAGAAATGGGAGGGAACCTGAATCCCTGGGTGATACCGTGGAGCAGAGCCTGAATCCCTGGGTGATACCGTGGAGCAGAGCCTGAATCCCTGGGTGAGCACATGGAGCAGAGCCATAGTAAACTTTTGTGTTTTTATAGCTACTGTAGCTTGAGGTTTTTCTGTTAGCAGTAACTGAATTTACACTCTTCTGTAAATAACCTTGTTTTTGTTCTTGCAGCCCAGGGATTAGCACTCAGGGCTTTACACTCACTAGGTAGGCACACTGTACCACTCCAGCCTCTTTTGCTCTGGTTATTTTGGAAATAGGGTCTCACTTTTTGTTCATGCTGGCCTGGACCACGATCCTATCTTTCTTATGCTTTCTGCCCTAGCTGGGGTGACAAGTGCGCATCACCAAGCCTAGCTTTTTTCCATTGGGATGGGGTCTCATGAACTTTTTTGCCTGGGTGGGGCTTGAATTCCAATCCTCCTGATCTCAGCCTCCCAAGTAGCTAGGATTTATAGGCATGAGTCACCAGCACCTGGCCTATTTTCAGATTTGGTTTTTGAGACAGGATCTCGCTAAGTTTACCCAGGATGGCCTTTAACTTGCGATCCTCCTACCTCCACCTTCTGAATAGCTGGGATTACGGCTGTGCCCCACTGCACCCGGCTGCTGCATCATCTTTGATTCTGTCAGAATCAGGCCCTGGATGTCACACCAGGAGATGACAGACGATTCTGTGCCAAGACACATTCAAACCGTCCAAGTTCCTTAACATTTTATTTTCAAGTATAAAGGCTTTGTCGCAGAAGCGAGCCAGGGTCACAGGCAAGGGGTCTGGAAGCCCAGGTGTAGGTGGACAGGTGGGCTAGCTGGCTCGCAGGTGCCACTACCAGTCCTGTGGCGCCTTGTGTGTGCCGCTGACCCTCTGCGGGATGCCAGGAGGCGAGGTAGCTGTGAGTGGAGGTGGGTATGGGACGAGGGCGCGGACTCACATCACCGCGCAACACTGGCACGTCTTTTGCTTGGGGCCGCTCCCCTCTCCAGCCTCGGTGGGGGCGGCGGGCTCCGGCTGCTGGGCAGGTGCGTAGGTGGGCGCGGGGTGACCACTGCGGTTGGCGCTGGGCCCCTCCTGCTGGAGCAGCGGCTGGCTTTCGGCAGGCTGCTCGGGAGTTGGGGTCTCTGCCAGGAGAGGTGTGGCAGCCCGGGGAAGACCTTCAGGGGTGTGGGGCTTTGCTGCTTCCTCCTCCAGGGAGCCCTCCTGCTTCTCCCCGGGTTGCAGTCCTTGCTCCTCTGGCATTGGCTCTTGCTGGACCTCCAGGGGAGGCCCTGTCTGGCTCACCTCCTCAACCTGGGATTCCATTCTTTCTTCTGATTCCCTCTGTCCTTCTGCACACAGCTCTTGGATCTTCCCTTGGTCCAGTAACTCTTCACCTCCCTTGTTCTCTCTGTCCAGTGGCTCCACCCCTTTGTCCACTCTCTCCAGTGGCTCATCTCCCTTGTTCCCACTGTCCAAGGGCTCCTCGCCTCTGTTCTCTGTGTCCAATGGCTCTCTGCCTCTCTTCTCTGTATCCAGCGGTCCCTCACCTCCTTTTTCCTCCCCGTGCAATGCTCCCTCACTTCCTTCCCTCTCCACCACCAAGGGCTCTTCGTCTGCCTCTGGCTTTCCCTCACCCCCTTTTTGCTCTGCTCCCAAAGTCTCCACTTCCTTCTCCTCTGCTTCTAGCTGTTCCTCGCCTCTTTCCTTCTCCTGCAAAGGCCCCTCGGCCTCTTTTCTATCCACTCCTGCTGGCTGCTCGCCATCTTCCTTCTCTGTCCACTCTTTTTCCTTGCCTCCTACCAGCTCTGGCTCCAGTGCCACCTCACTCCCTTTCCTCGCCACCTCCAGTGGCATATCCACCCTGTCCCGCTCTGCCCCTGGCTCTGCCTCAGTTCCTGTCCCTTCTACTGCCACGGACTCCTCTGCCCATTTCTGCTCCTCCTCCCATGTCCCCTCACCTCTGGCCACCTCTGCCCCGAGTGGAGCCACCGGCCCTTCCAAGCCCTCCATCAGCAGCTCCTCCCAGTCCTCGCTGAGGGTCACTCTCTCCACCCAAATGAAGGACCCTGTCTCTCCTGCAGAGTCCCCCTGCCCAGCACCCCCAGTGCTGCCCCTAGGGGCGCCTTCCCTGTCTCTGGAATCCTCCCCCTCTAATCCCTCCTGGAGCCTTGTGGAGCTGGTCTGCATAGTGTCCCTGATGGCCTCTGCGTCACTGCCCCCCAGTCCCTCCCAGACCACCTCCACGACACCCCTGTCCTCCCTCACCCAGCTGGGGCACTCCGGGCTGCCAGCCCCCTGCCCGTCTCCAATGGCTTCCAGCACCACCTCCTCCACCTTGGCCTCCAGCTCTGGGCCTGTGGCCTCCCTGACACAGTCCTCAGTGGCCCTCAGCCCCTCCCACACCACCTTTACCACGTCCCCTCCTTTGGCTGTAATGTCACCTTCTACTGCCACTGCCCCCAGGCTCAACTGCTGCTCCAGAGTGGGGCTGGATCCAGGGTAAGGGCCATTGGCTTCTGAGGAGGCCCCCACCATCCCTGGAACCCCAGTGACCTCTGCCCTCGGCTCAGAGGGGGACTCGGGGGACATGCCCATAGGTTCTGCTGGCAGCGATGCTCTCTTGTCCAGATCGGTGTGACCTGGGGGTGTCCAGGGAGAAGAGAGGAAAGAAGGGTGAGTCGGTGCAGAGGGGAGCAGAAGAATCTCCACTCTCGCTACTCGTATGTCAGGCCTAGGGGTGCAACACTCACCTGCAGGACTTGCCTCCATGGTGGGCTGGGAGAGAGGACGGTGGCCCTGTAATGATGGCAGAGATGAGGTCACTCATCCCCACCTCCAGCCTCCCTGCATTCTGTGGACTGCTCCTGCTCAAACACCCTCCACGGCTCCCCATTACCTCCAGGACTAAACTCCACATGTACCTCAGCTTGCAACGCCTGCCACAGCTCCCTCTGACCCAGGGCCTCAATACTGCGTTAAGACAGCCAATCTCTCTCTCTCTTTTTTTTCTTTTTAGGCATGTTTTCACTATGTAGTCCAGGCTGGCCTCGAACTCTCTATTCTCCTACCTCAGCCTCCTGCATGCTGGATTAGAGGTGTGCGCCACCATACCTCTTAAGCCTTTTGCTATTTGAGCTTACATTTCAGTCAGGGGAGCCTGTAATCCTGGCTACTCAGTAAGTAGGCAGAGATCCAGAGGATCACGGGCAAAGCCACCCCAAGCAAATTGTTCAAGAGACCCTTTCTCGAAAATACCCAATGAAAAAATGGCTGGAGGAGTGGCTCAAGTGGAAGAGTGCCTGCCCAGCAAGCATGAGGCCCTGAGTTCAAGCCCCACTACCCCAGTACTGGAAGGAAAAAAAAAAAAGGAGAAAGAGAGGTGGGAAAGGGCATTCCAGGAAGAGGAATAACAAGTGCAAAGGCCCTGGGGCCCACAATGAGCTAGCCAAATTCAGGGAACAGAAAAGAGGATCAGTGTGGTTAGAATGGAGCAAAGGAGACTGCTAGAAGAATGTAGGTTCATGGAAAGAAGCTGGGGACAGCTACGCAGGCCTAGCCTCAGGTGTCCTCACTGTTTTCTAACCCTTTGCCACCTTGAAGGCCAAATCCCAGGGACGTCTGCCCACATTTTCTGACTGCATTCCACAATCAGGCCATAATAACAGCCATAAACCAAAAACTTCCTTATACGCCTGGTGTAGTAGTGCACGCCTGTAATCCCAGCACCTGGGAGGAGGAGAAGGCAGGAGAATGTGGACTTGGAGGCCAGCCTGGGCTACACTGTCTCACAAAGACAAAACAAAACAAAACCTCTTCTTCCCTTCTGCCTCTTACAAACGCAGCTAAGCTCTGTTGCCAGGACCCTCCCAATGCCTTCCAGGTGTGTGCTACTGCTATTCCCGTTTTAGAGATAGGGAAACCGAGGTTCAGGTAAGCAAACTGACTTGCCCAAAGTCACAGAGCGAGCAAGCAAGAACCAGAAGATGGGCTGAGATGCAGACGTAGCCACTGCACTGCACTTAGCGGGTCGCACCTGTGTTCTGGGGCCAGTTTTCAACCCCCTCACTCCATCCGCCCCCTCACCTGTCTGCGCCAGGCGGGCCTGCCCGAGGTCTTGTGCTGGGCACCTGTGGATGCACTTTGCAACAGCTGCAGCTGGGACTGGAGTCTGAGGAAGACACGGGGCTGCTGGCAGCCGGGTCCCCAGGCTCAGTGTGCCCCCTCTCTGGAGAGCACCAGGATCGTGCTGCTGGGCAGGGCAGGGCAGGGCAGGGCAGGCAGGGCAGGGCAGGCAGGGCTGGAAGATGGGCCCCCCGACTCACGTGAACAAGCTGTCCTCCAGGTTCCGGATGCGAACCTGAGCCTGGCCCTCGGGGGACTGCGAGTCCTTGGACGTGGGGTCCTCGGGCTTCTCCGGTTTTTCGGCCGCCCCATCCATGAGCCAGCGCTCCCGGAGAGACTTTCTCTGGGTATAGAAAGGGAACCCCGAGCTGGGGACACAGATCTCCCATCCCAGGACCCCCCATCCAGGCTGGGTAGATGTCACATTGCTCCCCAACATTGCCACAGGGAGCAGAGACCCCGCGGGCATCCATCTATGTCTCGGACATCGGGGGACAGACACCCCCACAGCCAACCCATACTTTCCCCTCCATCCATCCCTCCATCGTGGCGGGGGGACACCCCACGGCCAGCTCAAAGCCCTCCCCTCGATCCATCCCCCCAGTGTGGGGGGCAGACACCCCTTTTCCACCCAAGCCTTCCAAAATGAGACAGACACCCCGAAAGGCGAAACCACTGTGTGTCCTTTATCTGACCCTGCCAGACTAACCCCCCCAAAAAAAAACTGAGACAAAGACCTCCAGGTCCCCACCCTCTTCCCAGGGTGGGACATGTGTCCCCATCCCCGCCCGGGCCCCTCCCCTCCCCTCCCAGGACGGGATAGGTGGCCTCCAGCTGCCCCCGCACCCGGGTCCCCCTGCCCGCCAGGCTCCCGCGCCCACCTTGAGCCGCTGCACGCGGAGCTTCTCCTCCTCCAGCTCCCTGCGCGCCGCGCCGATCGCCTCCTGCAGCCGCCGCTTCTCCTGCGCACACACGGCCGAGCTGCGCGCGGCGCCCGGGTCCCGGTCCCGGTCCCGGTCCCGGTCCCCCCCTCCCCGGGGCTCCCGGGGCGTCGAGCCGGACGGGCGGCCCCGCGCCGTGGGCACCAGGCAGGGAACCAGGCGCTGACTCAGCGCGGGCGGAGGGGCGTGGCCGGGGGCGTGGTCTGTACGTTTGGGGCGTGGCCAGGGCCGTAGTCGGGACGTCCGTGCCCAATGGGGGTCCGCGGAAGGGGGCGTGGGGGCGGGGCTTTGGGATGGGGATGCGGAGCAGATTCACAGCTGTGGAGTCCAAGACCCGCGGGCTCGGAGAGGTGGGGGTTCAGATAAAGGGAGCCAAAGCAGGGTGTTAGTGAGATGGGGGATCCGGAGAGGTGGGGGGCCACACACACTGGGGTGTGGGGGTGGAAGTCACAGACGCGCGTGCGTAAGTGGAGGTGAGCAGGGGAATGGGGGTGCAGAGGTGGGGTGCAAAGGAGGGAATTAGAATGGAGACACAATGGCCACGTCAGAGACATGAAGTGCACAGGTGCGGTGCAAAGAGACGGGTACAGAAGTGGGTTGCTGCAAACTGGAGTGCTGATAGATGGGGTGCAGGGAGGCAAGTCAGAGAGAGATCAGAGACGCGGGTCGGAGAGAGGAGGCCCGTCAGGAAGGACTCCAAGGATGGGGTGCAGCTAGGGAGGCTTCAGAGAGGGGGTGCTCAGAGGTGGGGTGTTTGGGAGGCCAGATTCAGATCCTGCAGATTCTGGGCGTGTAGGATCTTCAGTCCCTCCATTCTGGGAGTGGCAGTGGCCAGACTGGGGACTTGGAGGGTGGGCGCCCTGGGCGGGGCCAGAAGTGAGGGCGCTGTTCCCCTCTTCACAGAGCTAGATTTGCTCCTGGGAATGGGAGACACCAAGAAAGAGCCTGGGGAAATCTGGGGGGAACCCCAAGGGGACGGGGACAGTGTCACTTACTGCGATGACCTCCAGACGCTGCCGGTAGAGGGAGCTCTCGGCCATGGGCCTGTGGGGGACAGAGCAGGTGCTGTGGGGGACCTCCCAGGGACCCCATCCCTTCCCAGGCCGACCTCTTGAAAGTTCCTCTCTTGGCTGGGAGCCCTGGGCTGCCGCCAAGAGAGAGCCCAGTGCTTTGCCTCAGTTTCCCCTTTGCACCTGGGGAGAGGGGGAGGGCCTTGTAAGGCTCTTCTGTAGCTTAACCTCTCTCAGCCGCAGTTTCCTCATCCGTAAAATGGGGGGATAGCTTGACCCCTCCCCCACTCCCGTCGTGCAAAGAAGTATTTATACAGGGAAAAGCCTAGAATGTAATACTCCAAAAATACTACCCTAGTTTATTATTCACCGCAATTACAATAACCTCCATAATTAAAACTATTTATGATCAATTGTAATAACCATTCCCAGACTGTCCTATAGAAATTCTCAAATCTTTTTTTTTTCCGTGCTGGGATTTTGAACTCAGGGCCTGCACCTTGATCCACTCCACTAGCCCTTTTTGGTGATTTTTTCTTTTTTGGAGATGGGGTCTCGAGAAGTATTTGCCCAGGCTGGCTTCAAACCTCGATCCTCCTGATCTCTGCCTCCTGAGTAGCTAGGATTACAGGCGTGAGCCAGTGGCACCCAGCTCCTCCAGCTCCTTTTTGCGTTATTTTTCAGATAGGTCTCACCATTTTTTTTTTTTTTTGTCCCAGTAAGAATCCCCAACCTCACCTCCCTTGTAGCTGGGATTACACTGCACCTGACCTGAAATTCTCAAATCTTACCAGGTCCCTAACATGCTGGGTGTCCCTTGCCCGTCCACACCCTCTCTGAGCCTCGGCTCCTACCAAGATCTTTTAAGCACTGGGGATTGGATTGGTGAGGGAATCCAAGCAGAGAAGTGGTCATTTCACCATTGTCATGGCAACTCCAGAGCTGCCGTACCCTCCCTGGGGGGCAAGGGTCACTGAGTCACGCTGCCGGGGCTGGACTCTGAGCTTCAACTCAGGCGAATTGTTTAAGATTTAACCTGAGATTCCCCCATCTTTGTCCTCTGTGAAGTGCCTCCAGGGTGCCTCTGTCCCCTTCTTGGTCCCCCTTGGAAGTGGCACTGAAGACTAGAGGAGAGTCATTGTCACTTTCAATTTCATCATAGTAGAGAAGCCATGGTGCTGGGTTGATTCCACCAGCCACTATCTAGAAAGGGACATCTATTTGTCCTCCCCTGTCACCTGACCACAGAGTGGGCACAGAGAATTCTCACCACGTACGCATTTGAGTACAAACCCACTGGGATGAGCATGATGGCGTCATTGCCAGACTCCGGCTGGCACCTTCCCGACCTTCTCTGCCCACAAATGGCAGACAGAAAGAGCACTGACTATTTATAGTGGCCCAGGTGCTGGATGGGGCTTCTGCCAGGCTCCCGTGGCCACCCCTGCCTCCCCCTCCTGGCCCCATCTTCACTCCTGAGTGGATGGACATTCCGACTAAGGACCAAGCTGGCCACCAACCACCACGTCCCACGGGCCACATACCACGGGCCACGGGCTTTTGAAATGCTCTATCTGTAGTGATCCTCCCAAGGCAAGTAGTGTTACTGTCCCCGTTTTTTAATTTTTATTTTTTGGGTGGTACTAGGATTTGAACTTGGGGCCTTGTGCTTGCTAGGCAGGTGCTCTACCACTTGAGCCACACCCCCAGGCCTCCCTCCTTCCTTTCTTTCTTTCTCTCTCTCTTTCTTTGATAGAGCCTCTCCTTTTAGCCCAGGACCTTGGTCCTTCTACCTGTGCTTCCTAAGTGGCTGGGATTACAGGCATGAGCCACTTCACCTGACTTACTGCCCCTATTTTACAGATGGGGAAACCAAGGCTTGAAAAGTGTTTTTTTTGTTTGTTTGTTTTTTAGCCATGTTCAAGGTTATGGAGTCAAGAGGAGAACTTGAGGTGCTCAGACCCCCAAACACTGAGAACATTCTGTGGCAAAGGGTTCAGGGAACGCTCATTTTGGCACCCATCAGGCCAGAGCTCAACCTGTGTCAGTGGTCCTCTGATTTCAATTGGGTAGGGGACTGAAGTCATGCTTTACTGTGTGTCCCTAAGGAAGCCACGCTCCTTGCTTAAAGGGCTCCCCTAGGGAAGGGCTGAAGTCCCCCTCTGCTGGGTCCTACCCCAAGATGTAATCTCCTTGACTCTTGCTGGGGACGATCAGGTTCCCGTTGCTGGGCAGCCAGGGTTGCAGTCGTGAATAATGCAAGGGAGGACCCAGAAGGGTGAGGAACAGAATTGGGGTCCCTAGTGCGGGAGCCCCTTTTCTAGAAACTTCTTCCAAACCCTTGGAGCCCTTTCAGTCTCTTAATTTTTTTTAACTTTTTAATTTGTGCAGTGCTGGGGACAGAACCAACCCTCCCACTGCCCTGCAAGCACTCCTCACTGAGCAGCTCCCCCTTACCTTAAAAGGCCCCCACACCACAATGACAATATTCCACACCCTCCCGGGCTTTTGTTTGTCACTCGCTACCTGCCTGTCACCAGCAGGCACAGTTAAGTGACCGTTTCATTAAGCTGGTCATCATTTTGCATTTCTTTCAAAGCTGTCGATTTTGTTCATCAAAGTCCAGACATTTCCTCCCACCCTGGACACTGGGATGTGCGGGGTGTCCCTTTCCACGGGACAAAACGTGCAAGCCAGAGACCCTGTCAATCATTCCCTGCCCCTTACAACCCCTCAACAGCCACTCCTCCCCCCCCAAGGTGGACTTTGGGCTCTCACACCACCAATAGGAAGTCCCCAAGAGAGGGGCAGGGGGTGCCCCCTCTGTCACCTTGCTCTCTGGGGCAGAAGGGGACATTGAGAGCCTACGGGGTTGACCACTCACCTCTTCCATCTCCCCCACCCCAGTTCTCCTTAGGAGAGGCCAGCTGGGGCTCTAGGCTCCCAGGTCAGCCCGGTGTCCCCCAGAGCCCTTCCACCAGCCCTCCAGACCCTGGTCACTTACATCGGTGTGGCCGCCGACCACAGCTGGCTCTGCAGGGCCATCCCTGCCCCGAAGCCCACTTTGCAGTGGCTTGACTTCAGGACCCCACTATCCGCGTGTCCAAAGGTGCCCTGGACGCTGTGACTTGGCTGGTGGCAGGGGGGCTGCGGGGCGGCACCGGGTGAGCTGGTCCAGCTGGTTTGGGCCGGAGGCGGGGAGGCACGGCAGAGGTGGCGGGGCGGTGGCGGGCAGTGGCAGGGCGAAGGGGGCTGGGGGCTGGTGGCTGTGCTGGGAGGCACTATCAGCTGTCGGATAAATTATTTACCAGCCCTGCCGCCCGTGTCGCACCCTGCTGCCTCCCTCCCTGCACACACGCTCTCCCGTGTGTGGTCAGGCGTTCAGCCAGAGCGGCCAGTCACTGACCCCCACCCCCAGGGACGACACCAGACGTGAAAGAGGGCGGGCAGCATCTGGCCACCGTAGGTCACCATGTGCTCCAGAGGGAGAGTGCAACCTCTGATCCAGTAAGACCAGAAGCCTGCCACTGTGGTCACCAAGAGGCCAAGACTCAGGGTCACCATGAGCAACTCGTGTGCAGGTTTCTAGAGCTCAGTTTCCCCTTTTGCGAAATGGAAGAATCACAATCCCAGTGACTCAGAAAATAAAGATGGAAGGAGCATGGTTCCAGGCTAGCCCAGGCAAAAATAAAAAAAAGTCAGTGAGACCCCCCCCAGCTCAACAAACAAGCAGAGTATGGTGGCCCGTGCCTGTAATCCCAGCTACTCAGGAGGCAGAGGTAGGAGGATCAAGGTCCAAGGGTGGCTGGACAAAAGCAGAAGACCTGAGCTGAACACTAACTCAAGCTAAAAGGGTTGGTGGAGTGGCTCAAGTGGTACAGTGCCTGTCTAGCAAGTGTGAGGCCCTGAGTTCAAACCCCAGTACTGGTTAAAAAAAAAAAAAAAGGTAACAAATGGAGAATCCATTCAACAGCCCCAGACTCATGGGCCCCCCTTTTTAGGGGTGGGTGCTGATGAGAAAGAGCTGGAGAACTTCCTACCCACCTCTTCAGGGGTTTTGTTCTATGACCCCACCCCATTCTTAAAGGGCCAGCCCCACTTTCTCAGCTGCCTGCCTGTTTCCTTCTTCTGTGCTGGGACTGTGGCACTTTCCCCACCACAGCCCTGGTCACCTGTGCAATTCCAACCTGAACTGGAACAAAGCCCCTCCTCTCCCTGACCCTCCTTTCAGAGCTCAGAGGCAGCGCTGAGCAGGGGGTGGGAGAGGAAGAGCCTGGCTACACAGGTGGGTGTCTCTAGGTGCAAGCCGGGCTCCCTGCTATGCTGGATCGGTGGGGGTGGGAAAAAAGGGGGAGCGTGCTGGGTGCTGGGAATGTCCCAGGAATCCCAAATACTATAAATCGAACCCCGTTTTTCTAGGTCATTTTTTGGGGGGAGTGCAGGACTAGGGTGTGAACTCAGGGTTTCACACTTGTACAGCAGGCGCTCTCCCACCTGAACCACGCCTCCAGTCCATTTTTGCTCTGCTTATTTTTGGAGATGGGGTCTCCTCAACGATTTGCCTGGGCTGGCCTCAAATTGCAATCCTCCCAATCTCAGCCTCCCAAGTACCAGCCCCCGGCTTCTGGGTGATTCTGAAGGCCTGTTTGTGGGCTGGGGCCATGACTCAAGTGGCAAAGCAGTTGCCTAGCAAGCATGAGGCCCTGAGTTCAAATCCCAGTACCACAAAAAAAGAAGAAAGAAAAAGAATTAAGGTATATTTGTCATGATAGGAAAAGAGATTTTTTTGCTTTGGTTTTTAGGGAGAGGGTCTGGCTATGTGGCCCAGGCTGGCCTAGAACTTGTTATTCTCCTGCCTCTGTCTCCCAAGTGCTGAGATTACAGAAGTGCACTACCACACCCAGCTGAATATACCTTTTAATTTGAAAAATTTAAAGAGATGGGGTCATGCTAGGGGTGGAGCTCAATGGAGGCCACTTGTCTAGCATGTGTGAGCCCCTGGATTCGATCCCCAGCACTGAAAAAAAAGAAAGA